TGATGTACTTGTTTTCACACTAGGGTGGGAGACCTCCAGGCAATTGCAGCCCTTGCGTGCAGATGCGCAACTGATCAGTGGGCAAAAACTTGGCCTAAAGGGGAAGGGAGGCAATTGTCCTGGGGAGAAAAATTAAAAGAAAAATAAGGCCTAGAGCTACCTGGAAGTGACAATGGTATCTCTAAGAATTGCTAGAAACTCTGTGGTCAGAACCTCTGATAAGTAGCCAAGGACTTATTTTTCTTTTTTCTCCTGGGATGTTGCCCACCCCAAGCCTCATGCTGGTTGCCAGGCACTGCCTATGTCACACTCTTCTTTGACTTTTTAGTAAGGTTTCCACTATGACGTGATCACATTCAATGGCAGTCACAGGAAACTTTAGACATTCATAATATCTCTGAACTTTTTTTTGTTCCAACCAAACATCTCCTTGGGTTAGGGTTGCTATCCCCCCCAGTGTGGGGCAAGTGTTTCTCTGCTTTCGAGGGGCTCAATCTGCCACCGCCTTGCTGGCCAGTGGGGGAGTCCCACCCCCAACAGCTTCAGCATGCCTGACATTCTTGGTGCAGTGATGTCACCCGGAGGTGACCATAGAGTTTTTGCCCAAATACCAGAGTGTCCCGTGCACAACATGCCTGGTGTTATGACATCACTTCTGGGTGATGTCATTGCAGCACACTCCAAAGACTCCCAGACAGAAGACTGGAGCCCCCCGCCGGCAGCCAAGTAAGACCTGGCAACCCTACCTTGGGTGTTTTTTTTTATTTTAAACAATAGTTGTGAAGGAGATTATTTCATCATATACAATAGAGATGAAAATATTTTGATAGACTCTTCCAGAAGTGATCATACGTCTATGAAATTCATTTCATACTGTAACAATATGACAAAATATTTGCTTTTCCAGGTTATAAGAGTGCAAAATTCAAACCACTGATTAGAGTCCCAAAACATTAAAAAAAAACCCAGAATTTATTTTCAGCTCATTCTAGAGAGGCTATAAATGCAAACGAAGAACATATAGATCAAGCTTCAGTCTAGAACAAATCTCAACAAACATGTACACATGTGCACTCCCATCCCTGAAACTGAAAGAACACACTGCCACATAATGTCGCAGACAATTCCTGAGATGAGCCCAATGTCAGTCAAAGGCTTGCAATGTCTTGAAGGATAGATAAAGGAGTGAATGAAAAGGATTTGTGCTCACTTATGATATGGGTTTGGAGTAATGAGTAATGTATAACCTGTGCTGGTTTCTATTATGATTTACATGCAATAAATTTTAGTAGTTTCTATTTTAAATATTTCTTTTGTTTCTCAAGTTCCATGCCTAAAATGGAATTCACTAGAATATTAATTACTGATATAGCTTACCTCAATGAGATAAAATGTGAAACAGTATTTAAGACTTTGTGCTGTTATATTTACCAGTTTCTAGTTTGCCTCCAGCTCTTCCCTTTCTAATTGTGTGTCAGAAAATCAGAAGGGTTTTTAAAAAATATTTAATTATAAATATCATAATAGAAATAGGCAGTCATTCTTAGGAGAAGTTATTTCAATAGGGCAGATAACGCAGATTCATTGGCTACATAGTTGTTCAACTACAAAACTGGTCCACCTGAGTATGTTACATAACTTCTGTTTTTAAATGCAGTAACTAATTGTAGGTAGATTTTTTTTAACCATAAAGCTATGTTTTCCCCAGCCTCTCCATCTGCTCTTTTTGACACCCCTGTCATTAACTGTCATTTTCTTTTAAATATACAGTGGAGCTGAAAGGCCAGCTCTACACCACATCATTTCAGATTAGGGGCACTTCGTTTGAGCTGAGCACTGTTTAGGTGTCAGAAAGAAGTCTCTGACCTCTCTCGCACCACACTGCTGTAGGCCCTTAATTAGTACTGACTCCAGCCATTACTGCAGAAAGGACAAAGGCGACCACATCATTTTTCTACTTAGGAAGTTAGCGTCTGACCTAATAACTTGTCCAGACTCGTACGACACTGTAATGACCACACAATGACAGTGGGATTATTTGTCAGGTTCTTTCCTCCCCTAAACCTAGGATAATCAGGAAAGTTAAGAGTTGTATCTCCCACACCTTCCAGGGCTATTTCTCATTCAGCTGAATTCACAATAATGAACAATGGTCTGAGAGACAGATGACTGGACAAGGCAGCAGCAAAGCATATAGCTTTTTGGTCTGGACATAGATAAAATAGCAATAAAGCAACATTTTTGGATCCCGCATGATTGAATTAAATTTATCTGTGACCTGGATAGATACTGTTTCAAATAATTAATTTCATCTCTCAGCACAACATCCTGTATTGGTGAAACTTGACTGGCAGTAGAATTGTAAACACCATACTACTTCACTGTATTTCACTGCCAGTTGAATTTCTTTACCTCCATGTCCCTGTTGCCTAAAGAGAGAGAGAAATCTGCTTAAATATAATGTTATATTTTAAAAAGTGCACTCTTGATTAGCTCCATCTTAGTTTTATTTCTTTGAAAAATACTCATAGAAGGATAAAAATGTAGAAATTAAAAAAATACATTAAATTAAACATTAAAAGATAAAAAACTTTAGGGACTTTTTCTGAAGTTTAAAATTGTTGAAGCAGACAAATATGAATAAAGCTACATTTGGATTATGTTATCTTGAGCTTCTAACAATTTATTTTATTTACTTCATTTATACCCCTCCCTTCTTCCCAATGAGGACCCAAGATGGTTTATATCATTCTCCACTCATCCATATTATACTCACAACTACCCTGTGAGGTAGGTTAAACTAAGAGTGTTTGACTGGCCCAAGGTCACCCAGTGAGCTTCCATAGAATAGTGGGGATTCATACCTGAGTCTCCCAGATCCTACATTCTAACCACTACACTATGCTGACTCTCTAACCATCTTTTTAGCAAATTTTAAGAAATAGTGACAAGCACTATTTGAGGAGCAGATTAATTTTTTACTCTTCTTTCTGGCTATTCTGTCCAGATTTCCTTTGCCTTGGTAGGAGCTCTGTAGCTAACAGTAAACTAGCTGTAGCTAGCCACAGACCATTTTTTTTTAATCTTTCCAACAATTGACTGGGAAGGTTTAGTCTATCTATTGTATGTTAAACCGTTCACCACCAGTTCCCCAGAGAGCACTGTGATCAGGGTCCCAAAATCGACTGACCCTCCCCAGATGCAAGGAAACCAGGCTGGCTATAACTAGGGCCAGGGCCTTCTCAGTAGCGGCTCCTTTCTTGTGGAATGAGCTCCCAGAAGAGATCACGGCACTGTGGGACCTCATGCAGTTTCACAGGGCCTGCAAGACGTAGCTCTTCCACCAGGCCTTCAACAAAGAACAGTGTCCCCTGAAGACATTAGAACAGCCTGTGCCAGCTGCACAAAGATCAGATCCACGGGCTGACCGCCAGGACCATTTAACCATCTGATAATTTATTAGTATTATAATATTAGCACCTTTTAATGTTGAGTTGTTTTACATGGTTTTAGGATTATTTAAATTGTCTATGTGTTGTTTTATTCCTTTGTAAGCTGCCCTGAGCTGGCTCTGGCTGGGAGGGCGGAGTATAAATCTGATAATATATAATAAATAAAAATAAAAATAAATGATGTAGTTTGTGACACAGGTTATCAGAATTACCAAGGTACTTTCTATATTAAAAAAACACTAGTATTGTGTATAATAAATTAATTCAGTGAATCCAGATTTGTATTTTGCTTAATGCAGCATTTACAAATTTTGGAGAGAGGGGTTACCTAAGGCCCAATCTGTCATTTTCTCTTTAGAAAGACTTGTAGTTACCTCAGAATTCTGTGTACCTAGTCACAGTGCAAGCCTGTGTTTTTTAAAAAGGCACAGTGGCTGTCCATCATGCTAGCTCTCCTACTGGGGCCCTGCTCTGCCTGTCCATGATGATGGAGGCAAGGAGACTGGCATATGGGATAGGGCCTTTTCGATAATTGTACCGAGGCAGTGGAATTCCCTTCCTCTGTCTGACTCACTTGCACTTCACCTTCAGACTACACTGATTAAAGCATTTTTCTTTCAAAAGGAGTTTGGAGGCAAGTGATCTTATTCACTGGATTTGTTTTGATGTCTTTTTCAATAATTTTACTGCTGTATTACTTTGATTCTGCTGTTTGGTATTTTATACGATTATTTTTATGCATTTGGTTGCTTGTCTTATTTTCAGTTTTTATTTTTGTAAGCTGCTGTACTTAGATTTACTAGCTGCTTCTCCAATTTCCATGTTCCAGCTTATAATAAAATTAATGAAATCAGTAAGCCAATAAAATCAAAATAGAACATTTAAGAGCGATGGTTGAACAATATCTCATCACTCACACAAGGGCCAGCCTCTCTACTATCGTACAAGGAATTATGGGTGCATTTGGGTGCATTTGAAAATCCTATCCCATTGCTCAAAATCTACCCCTCCAGTATTCAAGAAGTTCTCAGTTCTTTAAACAGGTTGGTTTCTCTTCCTCCTCCTCCTTTTTATCATTTAATAAACATTCAGCAGCTGTCAACATTGCATCCCCTTCTGGTGCATATTTGGTATCACTATATGTAATAGTGAACTGACTGGTTGTGTCTGGTTCCTGGGTGTGTTCAAAGATAAAATAATCTGTTAAAACAAACCACTAGCCTTATCTGCAAACATGATAGATAAATGATAACATGGTGATAAACCCATTTGTATAGCTAATCTTCTTTTCAAGGACTTTGGGAGCCAACCTAAGCAAGTCTACTTAGAAGTAAGTCCTATTTTAGTTAACAGGGGTTATTCCCAGGCAGGGTATGAGATTCGTGAGTCACTGCTCACTTCTTCAGCATTTGCACGAAAGCTCACACCCTGCTGCAAATGTTGTTAGTCTTTAAGGTGTTACTGGGCTCTTGCTCTTTTCTACTGCTACAGACAGACTAACATTTTAATCTTACTCCCAGGAAAATAGTTTTAAGATTGCAGCCTTAGAAACTTCTTCAGAAGGAGATGGCTTGTGTACTTAAGAAGTGAGCTTTTAAATGTTCTTGGAGTACAGCAAAAACATTAAACCCTTTCTTTCAAAGTGACTTGTGGTGATATACAAACAGAGAGGAATATTGAGGCTGTTTTGTAACACAATTGTTACAATATTCTTTTGCAAGATAGGTGGTGACCTCCTTTTTTAGTACTATGTGTCAGTTCTAGCTAATTATATGACTTTTCCAGTTCTTCATAACAAGAAAAAAAATCACAAATATGACTTGAAGAACAGTAAAGGTGTGGCAAAACCTAAAGTGCCTGAAAAGCCACAGTTGTCATCTTTTATTTGTGCCATCTTGGTTCTACCCATCCCCACTCCAATGGGGCAAGAAAGGTGTTTCCTTCTTAGTAAATCATTGTATTACTTTTGGTCATGTGATTAATTAACTTATATGGATGTATATTTTCTATGAAAAATAGTTTATTACAAGTAATGCTATGTAGAAGAGCAGCTTTTAAAAACATATATAGTTTATTACAAGTAATGCTATGTAGAAGAGCAGCTTTTAAAAATATAGTTTTAATCAACTTATTCTTCTGAACAAGGTATGGCATTGATAGCAGTTATTGATAGTTTGTAGCATTACCTAATCTTCACTAAATGTAGGAAGCTTTTCAGATTTTGAAAGGTGGCAGAAAATGTCTAGTAACGATGCTGCTGGGAATTCAGGGTCAATAGTGTGGTCAGTATAACAGGGATGTAGCTATAAGAGGTATTTTATTATAAGCAAGTTGACTGTACTAAATGTTCATGCTAGTGCAATATTTTGAAAATGATGTTGTATTTACAAGATGCTTCTCAGTTTCAGTTTTTCTAACTACCTCAGTAAAAACCATACTAAGTGTTTTACATGTAATATGGTATCAAGTATTGGAAGATCACTGAATTGCAGGAAGGAACATAATACACCAACAAAGAATAGATGTGGATGAATGGGAGACCCACAAGGACTTGTGGGAGGCATCTTCTTTTTTCCTCCCCACTGTCTCCCTTCCCTGAAACACCCACAGCCTCTTCCCTTTTACTGCTTCCTTCTCATCTTTTCTCCGACCACCCAACATAACTTTATCTGCCACTCTGTCTTCAGCTTTCCCTCCTTGCCTTCCCTTGGCAGCCTCTACCTAGGAAAACTATGGCCCAGTTTCTGGCCACCAGGACCAGTTGCATGGCTGGGAACCTGCAAGAACTTGGGGGGAGGGACCTCACTTTCCCCTAGATCCCCCTCCCCACATATTTCCTTTTTCCCTCCTCTTGGAAAACTGCATGTTCTCATCTTTCTCTGCTTCCTTCTGTCCATCCCAGCCACCTTTTATCTGTCTCCCCATCGTCAGCTATATTTATTATTTATTTACTTTATACCCCACCTGTCTCCATATTGGGGGCCAAAATCAGCTCACATCATTCTTCTCTCCATTTTATCTTCACAACAACCCTATGAGGTATATTAGGCTGAGAATGTATAACTGAGCTTCCAAGGCAGACTGGGGATCCAAACTTGGGTTACCCGGATCCTAGTATGAAACTCCAGCCACTACACCACTCTGGCTTTTGTATAGTGGCTGCAGTTAAACATTAGCAATCAATCAGTCCTGATCAGGTTAGATAGTAGTAAGTTTACCAGTGTTTGCTGGTGGACTTGGCCCAACGAGTCATCACTCAAAGGCCAAAACAGCATTGGGAAGGAACCTGCCCCCTCCTTCCTTTTACTGACAGTATCCAAACCTTGAGGGCTGGCAATACTGTTGTAGTTGCCTAGCAATGACCACTGAGGCATTCATTTCTTAAAACTACAAGTGCTAATTCTATTAAGAGGAGGCTTAACCTCAAATGCTTTATTTATGTATTTAAGATTTTTCAGCAAACCTGGAGCTTTTTTCAGGTTTGTAGAAAGATCTGCTTTGTTTCACTCCAGTTTCCAGATTTAAGTATCCACAGTTCTGCCCTTTGTTAAAAATTAGATATATTAATGATAACATTAGGGATTCAATACAGAGAAATGTTATGAAATTAGTAAAACTGATACAAACATGACTATGTTTCAGTAATTATCCTAGTCCAGATAATTAGATTTGTATCATGATTTTATTTTTCTGCCCTCTTTGCTTTCTTTCCCCCCCTGGTTTCTTCACTGCTGAATTGCTAAAGGGAATCCATTATATAAGGTGAGCATTCATTTTTGCAATAGAACTTGCTTGTAGCTATTGCCATATTTGAACCTCACTAATGTATGTAAATTAAAAACTATAGTATTCAAATTACTCCTGTTTGAAATAAAAACAGAATCTGATCATTACAATCTGCAAGCCAGGTATTATCACTGGACTAGTGAGCTGCTGATGATAAATTGTACTGAATAGCTTGTGGATAGAATATTTTATCTGTTCTCTATCACACAGGACTGCATAAAATAAGAATGATTCATCAAGCATGAGAGCTGGTGGTTTATGAAATTCATTGCTCACGGCAAGTGTATTTTTTTTGTAAATCAGAAGACAAAGCGACTCACAAGGGTTATTTAGTAATCAGTGTGAATTACTTCTAGGTATAACCCACACTGGAAAAAATTAAAAATACATTTGCAGTATGGAAACCTTATTGCTGTGGGTGTTATAATTTAATTGCATATTATCCTATAGCTTTTTAGACCACTTTTCTTTCAAAACCTCTTATTTTTGAGAGTAAAACTGCATAATCACATGTAACAGGATTATTATATTGAAGAAGCCCCTGCTACCAGCAGTTATGTCTTCCACGCTTGTATACCTTAGGCTGCAGAGAATATTTTGTTTATTCAGAAGGATATGTAAAAAGAAGACACGCAGTGTAAAGCCATCCCTTTTTCTCAATTCAGATTTACAATAATAATGTTTCATTTATTCTTGTGTATTGATACCCCAAGGCAATGTTCCAAATGAAAAGATAATAACATATGAAAATGTGTCAAAAACTAATTACATTTTGTAACTTGTTTTTCCTTCACATAAAGTATATTTTTCACCACGCTGTCCAGTCACATGCTGAGATTCTTGCTAACATTATCACATGCCAGTCACACTAGGTCTCAGTGGTGCCTCTCCTTCTGTCATTATTTTCAGCATCAATTAATTTTCTCCTGACCTCAGCTTTGGAAAATGTAGCAAAGAATTATCAGTGCATGCTTTGCAGAGTCTATTTTGAAAGCATTAGGCCACTGTGTTTTTCAAAGATGGAGTAGGCCAAACATTATATTTTCTCACCTGCAGGGTTGCCTAGTAACCTGAATTAAGGATTTTCACCAAGCCTTCAAGACGAATAAAAGACTGTAATGCAGGTTGACCCAGGTGGGGGGTGGGGAGTCAGCCCCAGTCACATTGATCAGAATTTTAAATAAGGAAATATGAAACAAAAACTCTCATTTACATTCACTGTGGAAGCAGTTCCTATAACCAAAACAAGCTTGTTTGATCAGGCAAACTGAGAATACCAGGAACATCATCTTCCACAAATGTTAAACCTTTATTATGAACTGTGCTTTTTCTGTGGCTGTTGTGATGGCTTTTCTGTCATGGAAAATATTGACTGAGTATTGAAGATATCTAAAAGGCATCTTCTGAATAGGTAAACATACCTTGGAGAGGATGCTTTCTGCAAACATGCTTGTTTGCATATGTTTGGTAGAGGTTCACATAGATTTGTTCAGCTTTCATTTAATCACTCAAGGAATGAAATTCCTTGTTTAATGTATTGCCATTCAAAAAAGAAAGATTAGTGTGCTTTAGAGGTGGGGGGGTCATTCTTTGTAACGCTAATACAGCTTTGTCCTTGACATGCAAGAATCCTGGGGGAGGGAGAATAGGGGAAAGAGGAGTATGCAATAGAAATTTCTGCTTCAAAGTAGTAGCGCAATTAGGAAGTCAGCACCTAGTGACAGTCCTCGGCAAATGATGGTGTCAGGCCACTAAGGGGCTGAGGGTGGCAGGAGTGACATTCACCCTAGCTAGATGGAAATAAATGCCCAGTTTGATAAAAGAAAACAGACAATTTATGTATACCCTGAAGAGTTAACAGCTAGTGAGCCATTCCTATGGGTCAAGTGCAGCATTTGCATTTTGATGGGATGTTATCAAGTAATTAATGCACCAGTCAGGATTTATTACCTCAGGAGTGAACTGAAAGGTTCATTACAAAATCAGTTTCACTTGAAGATAGGCATTTCCTCAGAGTTAGCTTTTGACATGTTGTTCCTAGCTCCCTCTGCCTGTGGCAGTGGTGGTAGAAGGCCAGTGAGGTGAAATTCATTGCTTAATAAGGGCATTCACTTTGGGTATTCTTGTGATAATAAATGTATACATCAAGGCCGCAATGCCTTGTCAGTTTAATTGCTTCTTGTGGTCCTTAACAAGCCAATCTTAATCAGTCTGGACCATGTTATGAATAATTTAGGGATCAGCAGACTTCATTCTTAATAAGATGTACTAGATTATAAAACTTAAGAGCAGTGTTTATAGAAAGCATGCAAAACACTTTATTAGCAGCAAAGCAGGCAAAACATGCAGCGAGTTATTCTAGCACTTGCAGTTTGTGAGCAACAGCTGTGTGTCTTGATGCTGTAACACCCCTCCAACCCCCTTTCCATTTTTGTTGAAGGCCATAGTTTGGCCTTTCTATCCATCTAAGCCTCTGTGAGACATAATGGGAAATTTGAGTAGGCTATGAGATTAAAGCTAGGAATCGATGACCAGCCAGCAATTGTCATTTTCAAAAACATTCTTTTATCTTTTTAAATGCAAAGCAGATCTTTAAAAAAGTGTACAAAATTACCTTTGTGTGTGCATGTATGTCTGACAACCCATATGAATTTTAATGTAATTGCTTAGAAGGGACATTGAGCTGTCAAATTTTGATCAGTCATAGGAATTTCAAAATGGTTTCTCCTTTGTTTAGTAATACAATTGGAAGGTGGGATAGTCTATATGTATACGATGCTTTGATGCAATATAATGTGTTTAAG